GACTAGGGCTGGGCCAGGGCTGGGCCGGGGGAGGGGAGGGCCCGGCCACAGGAGCAGGGGGTGGGAGGGGCGAGCCTGGGGGCGTCCTGAGGACCCAACGATCCTGCCCTTGGTTCTCAGGCTCCTTCCCTCCCTCTACCCACGACCTGCTGGAAATCGGGAACAGGAATTGCACTCCAGACAGGGTCCCCTAGTGTCGGGCAGGGGTCGCCTAGACCTATCCGGCCGGGATGGACAGCCCAGCTCTTCTCATAGGGTGGACCAAGGAGCCGGCTGAGTGGCTTCCCGCAGGGAAGGTGCCAGAAGGACGGGGAGGAGGCGAGCACCCCTCTGTGGGCACCCCCCTTATCACCTAGCGTGCCCATTTGGCCTCTGGGATCACCGATTGTGATCCAGGGAAGCCATCAGCGTGTCTCGGAACTCTTCTGAGATAAATATGGTCCTAAGGTTAAGAGACCCTAAAAAAAGGAAGCAAAGGTGTGACAGTGAGAGGAGGGATGTGCTAAGGGATGGCATCTCTGTGATGACAACACTGCCTCGCGTTTGAATAGCGCTTTATACTTTTTTAAAACATGTTTTCTATCCGTTATCTATTTTTGCCCTTAGCCTATTCCTCTGAGGTAGGCGGGATAGGATTTTCCTGACTTGATAGCTGAGGAAAGTGAGACACAGGTGAGATGGTTTCCCCAAGATCACACAAGAAGAGAGTGGCAGGGCGGGGACCAGGGCCCCTGACCCCAGGGCAGTGTCCCCCACCACACACACTGCCTACCTCTGGTATTTGAGAGACCTCTCTGGCCTGACCTCCCCTGGTCTCTCTCCTCACTCTTTCCCCTGACTCTCTAAAAATAATCAGAAGCAACAGGGGGCCAACTCATGGAGCTACTGGGAATGGGGAACAGATTAACAACAAAATGCCCGGGGTTGTGCTTCCAGAAGTCTCTTCCTGGGAGCATACTCCTGGCAACCCCCCACCCCCACCCCCGGCCCCCATTCCTCAATCTGGTGCAGCAGCCTTTTTCCACTGCACAGCAGAGACCTGGCCCTCCAGAGGCAGGTGGTGCCCTGGGTCATACCTCATCCTGATGATTGATTGGTTTACCAGGGCGAAGGGGTGAGAGAGAGGCTCGAGCTGCAAGAGCAGTCACGGAGGAAGTGGGTCTCTTCCCCGGAGGGCCGGGGGGTGCTAGCGTCTGAAAGCGTCAGTCTCTCTCCTGCCCTGAGCCTCCCAACTGGTGCTATCTGTTAACCAACCATGCTCGTGGACATGGACACAGACCCTACTCTGCTCCAGACCCTGCGGGCGCCTCCGGAGGCACCCAGAGGACTCTCCGTATCGGTGCATCGGCTCCATGGTCCTGACGGGCCGCGGTCTCCGTTTCTGCGTCTTGCATGGCCAGGCACTGGGGCGGGTGCATGCCCCAGGACCCTTGTTTGTGTCAAGAATGACTTATGCTTCTCCCATCGATTCCACGTTTCTCCCGGCCAGGGAGCACGTTTGTGAGCGCTCTGCTTCCGCCCCTCCCCCATCTGTGCCGCTCTGCTTTCCTCAGACCCCTTTCTGCTATGCAAAGGGGATCTTGACATTCAATAAAAGGTGTCCAGGTTGCAGACTGCATGTTCACAAGGCCAGAGGGCTCTCCAGCGTGGCTTCATACAGTAAACCCTTGAACTGGAATCCAACGAATCAGGATTTTTTTCTTCTGCTTTTTGGAGGAGGCAAATCTCAAGGAAATGAGATGAGAAATTAGACATAAACAAGCTCAGTGGAGTTTTGTTAGAGCAGAAGGGGGCCCTCTAGTCCATTATTTTGGTTGGGAGGTGGCAGTTTTCTGCTTTTCAAAAGCACATGCAGAAAATCAATTTTTTCTTAACCTAAATCATGGGAAGTAAGACCAACAAAGTTTGTTATTTGTGGGTTTTTTTTTTTTTGGCTGTTGAGCATATGAAAGATGGGAAGAAATCCCTGTTGAGATGGGTTTCAAACATATGAGCACATAGCTCGAGTCTGTCCGTTTATTTTACCTTCAAGGAGCTGACTCCCAAAGAGATTTAGTGACCGAGCTAGTGAGGGAGCTAAGACTGAGTTTCTGGCTTCTTGCGTCCTAGCCTGGCAGATCCCACTGCACCACGTGCCCCTCAGTTACACCATGAATCTCCCGGAGAGAGTCCTCAAGGGAGCCCTCCACCCAGAGCTAACCAAAGGTGGTGACACTCAATGTGGACCTCCCCCAGGCAGCAAGGATCTTGGGGTGGACCCTGCAGTCCATTTACTGAAGCAGGACGGTGGTCCTGCATTGGGGGTGGACTTGTCTTTTACTTCTGATAATGTATTAATTAAAAGTAACTATTTTAATTAAAAGATTAATGCATGCAGTAAAAAATCGTCTTTAAAAAAACGTAATGAAGAGGAAAACTTTCCTGCCAGATTCCCACTGAGAAGCATCCTTATATGTCCTTCTCCAGAACTGGAGGAATCAAGGCTTAAAGGATGAGTTGAATAGCGCAGGGGAAGAAAGAAGAGGCAATCTGGTATGAGGATGAACTGTGTCAGGGCGACAGGAACTGGGGTCATAAGGCAGGAGACTGGCCTGGCTAGAGCCAAGGTGCGTGAAGTTAAAGTGACGTAGATGCCAAGTGAGTCATGGCCAGGCCATAGGGGGCTTTCAAGGCCAAGACTGTTCCATAGACAGGCTGCCAAATGGTCTGCAATCTGCTGTGCCACAGGCTCCCTCCTGGCCCCTTTAGAACTCCTTAGAAACAAAAGTCCGTAGCTCTGAAAGGAGATCAGAGAGGATGAAACTGGAAATCTTGAGACAGCAAGTTTCAGCTAGACGCCACTGAAAATGAAGAGCCACAGGTGAACAAAGTTATCTCACGATCAAGGATTTGGCACTATACCTGGCTATCTGAGATCTGGTTCTGGAATATTGGAGAATGGCAGAGAGTAGGGGATAAAAGAGGAAACTTCATGCCAGGTGCAAGATGAACCAGCCTGTGACTATGTTTTGTAATATTGGTGCATCCAATTGTTACTGTCAGAAAAACACGTAACAGCATTTTATCATCCTGGGGCCCTGACAGATTGAGGGAGGTTGTGGCTGTCATTCCATCCAACACCAACTCCTTAGGGAGCCACCACGGAAGGATATCTCTAAAAGGGTAATTCTTGAGAAGAGAGGACCTGGTATCAGACAGAATCTCACACCCTACCCCCACCCCACCCCACCCTACGAGGTTCCTGTAGGTCTGTAAGAATCATTCTTCTAGTGAGATGCTGGCTCTGTGTCCTAAAGGCTGAGAAACCTCTGCTCAAAACTCTTTAGACGTATTTTAAACCCATATCATCCCTCAGCGTGATCATCTCTGTAGCTTTACTATCTCCTTCATAAAAAAAAAGAAGACTCATTTAAGGGTCAAAAGGGATCCTATATCCAGTCTTAGAAGTGTAAGCCAGTGTTGGTTACCTGGGTTAGTCCCCATGCCTTCCATCCCTATGGGATCAATATCCTTTAATCATAAGGTGGCTTGAGCCCCCACCCCACATATACTGTCAAAACCAGCAGCCCCCGCCCCCCCTCAAGGATTTGGGGGCGAGGAGAGGTAGCTCATGCTTTCTGGGTTCTCCAGTTCACAAATATCTGCCTTCATACTGCTGGTCTCACCCCTCAGCTCCGCACTAACCCAGACAGCGGAGCTCTGTGTCTTCTTTGTTTTCCCCGATAAGACGCTTAAGTGCAGTAGACTTTTATACTTTGGAGGTTGCAGAGAGGGTCTCATCTCAGCCTAGCACAGCGAACGACCCCAAATTAGGCCCCAAACACCCACCATCTCCATTCTTAAAAGACCTTGAACTGTTCTCAACAGGAATTTCTTGGAGTTGACCATCTCCCCTTCTCCATTTTGTCTTTCCAGCCTCTAAAGAATAGCGCCCCTCCCCCTTCTGTGCCCCCTCACTCCCTGTCTCCCAGGATACTCAGAGAAACCCCCAAATCCTAATTTACTATGGAGAGCAATTTAGTTTTGTCTTTGCTCACCTTCTGCCTTCCAAGCCTTGCCTGGGGGCCTATTTTTCCACAATTAAAATAGCCAGTAAAACTGTCTTGTTAAACAAAACACTATTTTCTCCCTAGAAGGAATTCTGCACCAGTTTTTAATCAATCAAGTGATGAAGTTTTGAAAAGATTTTACATTCATACATTCAAAATTCAAAATGAATAAAAGGACGTGCAATAAAAAACTCTCCAGGTCACCCAGACACTCACTTCCCCTACCTGAGGCTGACTGGCCAACCACGGAGAAAGGGGAAGTTTCTGAAAGGAACCTGGAATCATTCACAGACTCCAAGGAACAGTTGAACAACCAATCTGGACAGAGACAAAAATGTGTCATCTCTGTTCCTTTCAGTGTGTTGGGATCATCCTTTTAAACTAACTTACTCCAAAAAATGGGGGACAAGACTATTCCTGACTCATATTTAGAGCTTCACCAGAGGGGAAATTAACCTGTACCCTCAGCTCTGGTTAGAAGGATCCCAGGGAAGAGCTCTGATTGGTCCAGCTTAAGTCATGTGTCTACCTGAGTCTCAATAATTATGCCAGGAGGCTAGGGCGCTATAATTGGGCTGGATTGAGTCAGATGCCTGCCCTTCAAACAGGCAGTATAACCAGGCATGGAACAAGATGGCAGCACCCATTTGAATTCCATGACTAGAACCCAGGAGGAGCCATTCCCCAAAGGGAAGGAGGTGCATATATGCCCTGAGGAGGGGAGAAGTGCTAAGCTGATGAAGTTAGCAGATGTTCACTACACACATATATACAGTGCTGGTAGGGGAGAGCTTGAGCCAAGGAGTGTTGATTATGGAGTTCTCGCTGACATGGAAGCTGAGTGGGCATGCTCCCCAGGGGGTTATTGCCAGGAGAGGAACACAAAAGACATGGTCTCTGTCATCTAGACACTTTCTGGATAGTAAGGGGAACAGAACAGAAAGAGTCTCAAAGCTGTGGCCTATAAATTTTCTTGAGTTAAAAAATGTTTGGGTGTACATATATGCTAATATCTATGCTATAAATCATATGGTAGAAGATTTAAGGGACAAGGTAAATATTTTAAAGCATTATTTTAAACTTAATTTATATTATTTGTGATGCAAAAAATACTTTTTTTCTCTGTCACTAAAAATGAGAATTTGGGTAAGATAATGTCTAAAGTCACTTTCAGCTCTCCATGTCACGTTCATGTTCTACAGATGTAGATACAACAGGATATAGGTACTAAGAGTATATTTTATTGTTTCCTCTAATACCCCCTGCCAACAATGGGAATAACTGTGAGCTTCATTTTAAAGTTTATTTAAAGACATGTGTCAAGATCTGAGTATCACTGGGAAAGGACAAATGAGTGGCTTCTAAGAGATGCAAAAATGTGACCTTTGGTGAATTCATTGCCGTTCAAGGCTTGGATCTTGCCAAGGCAAAGATATGAAATTGGGACTATCGTGGATTTTCCAAGGCATGTGATTGGTACAATTGATAGGCTTCAGTGAGTTGGCCTGGGCAACTCACCCACTGTTGAAATGAGAAGTGTGTTTCTGTGAAGGAAAAGCCGGGCTGGGCTAACAAGATGACTCACAAGTCTAAGAATGTGAAAGAAAAGCCGGGCTGGGCTAACAAGAAAAGCTGGGCTGGGCTAACAAGATAACTCACAAATCTAAGTACTGGAATACTGACCTGAGTTCTGCTGGACTAACTCATAAATCTAAGTTAATCAGTGTTGGTTTCGGATTCCCTGTTTA